TATTTTGTTGCAAATTGGGGCACCCCACTACTTAAAGGACATTTATTAAAACATTATTTTCTTCGGTTTTTCTTGAAAATAAAATATGGGTTTAAACCTTTCCCTTTAAGAGACTGCATACCATTGTAATTAAAAATGACCCTCCATTCAAAGAGGGGCATGCCCGATTCACAATGGTACCATTGAAACCTTTATCTGATCAAAATGTGGAACAAAACGTCGTTTTTAGCATGAAAAGTGTCTAGTTCTGATAATTCCTCCTTTTTCTGCAATGCAAATGTGCAAAAGCCGAATTTAAAGAATTTAAGCCGCGGCTCAAATAAAATTGGTTCCACCTAAAATGGTATTCAATGTTTCAAGATTTGAGCCGGCGCTCAATTGAAACCTGTTTTAGCGGATTTAAGACGCGCCTCAAATTCATTAATTTCGGACTCAGGTCACTTTAATGAAAAACCGCAAATAAAATTAAAACTTGATCTTTTGTGGATACTCTTGTCAATTGGACATTTCACTCAACAAATGGATGGTAACATTAAAAATAAAATAATAAAATTCTACAGATTGTTCGATTAGCTGAACAGAGCTTGGGAGCCCGGAGCTACCTCCAGGGGTCACAATCCACCTTCAGCAACATTAACAACATCAACAACATGGAGAACAACATCAGATCCACTAATCTTACCATCTCAGCATCTAACACCAATGAAAGCTTTCTAGGAGTTTAAATCATATTGAGTGGTCGTAAAAAAATACTTTGGATTCATGTACCTGATTTAATACCAGCATTTTTAATGAATAAAAAAAGTAATTTTCTCGTGTTTGTTGGAATATATTAACTATATAGCATCAGAGTGAAAGGGCGCTTTGCTCTCTTAGTTATTATCTTACCTTTAAGGTTTGGCATAAAATTTGGACTCAATCGGTTCAGCCGTTCTGAAAATTATTGACACGAACAAACACCCTGACAATCAAAATATAAAAATATTTGACAACAATTTTTACAATAAACTTATTCAATATAAACATGTTAATAACATTTAAAGTAATGTACTTTTTTAGTATACAGTAGATAAAAATATTTCTTATTGTCAATGATGGTAAATGTTCTGTGCTTAAATCAAAAAAAGGGTAAAGAAAATATATCTGGTATTTATAATAAATGTTTTTAATGTCGTCTTATTTATAAAGTTTCTGGAATTCAGACTGAATGCTGGGCCTTGATAACTAGTTTTAACAATTGACATATTAAATGTAGAAAGCATCCAATATCATTTATATGTCTAACTAATCAAGAATGATCACCCTTATACCATTTAGATTTTTTTGTCACGTCGTAAAATCCCAATTGTTCCATCCAATATGATGTTATCCTAAAATGATTCATCATAATGCACCATGTACGTAAGAAAGCTTCTTTATATATACTTTGCTTGTTTGTATCTAATAAACGTCAAAACGGCTAAACCGATCGAGCCCAAATTTTGTGTGGGATTCCACATGATCCCAGGGAAGATTTATGGATGATCAAAATTTCAAAAATAAACCTCCCAACAAAATTCGAATTGGATTAATTTTTAAAAATCCATGACATTTTTTAAAAATAAAATCCGCGAACTTTTTATATATACGAAGAGATCATGGTAAATTGAAAAAGAAGATGGGCGCGAAGCGCCCTGAAAGCCTCGTTTTATATAATTAACTTATCCAAATGAAACAAAGATACATATTTCAGAACTATGTCGAGTCCTACAGTTGCTGCTCCTGAGACTGTTGTGAAAGCAGAAATCCCAGAACCTGCTGATATGGCTTCTACCAAACCCAAAAAGGTAAAATTTAAAGAAGACATTTTAACTCAGAACTTTGGAGAAATGGAAAGAATTTTTAAGATTGTCGTCTTGACTTTTAGACCTAAATCTCAGTAATCTTAAAAATAAATTAATAGCCATGAAATGTGCGAGAACATTTTAAAGAGCTCCATCAAATTGTCCAATTATAAACGAAATATCTGCGGCATTCTACTGTCAGTAGACTTGGAAGACGACATTTTATAACTTCTTTTAATGTGTCCGAAACATTGAACCTGGTCAATGGTTGACTTATGGAATTTTAGATTTTTGATGTCTCGACCTTTTTAGGCCTTTGCTAGTATACGTCACGCAGCCCTTGACCAGGTGCAGAAATACTTATTTCAAAACATTTTAAAATTGCAGGGTCCGTCCCAGTATTGGGGTGGTCCAAAAATCGTATACTAGGAAATTACCAAAACGCATCTTCATTCTTTCTTCTTCATTAATAATTATATAAAACAACACAAGTCTGATTTGATAAATTTTTTTCAGATTAGACAGAGGACAAAGTCGAAGCACAATCAGGTTTGCATTTTTTTTATGGGGGGGGGGTCGTAGATTATGTAATAGAAGGTCATTGAGAAATATTTATTTTCAGTCTCTGGACGATGCAACTTTGGAGACCGAGTTCCTTAACTTCATGGCCAGGATCAGGTGAAAAATAATATTGGAAACTTTATTTTACCAAAGACACATTTCGTTTTTGTCATATAAAGACGAGGTCCTACTGTTGAAAGATGGTGTTGAAAGTTTCAAGATGACATTTAAGATTAACTTCTTAAAATATTTTAGAATTTTGTTATATAACGAAGCAAATATGTTAACAAAATGTACATTTGTACACGAAGTGTCAATATTTACAAGTACAAATGTACTTTATTTTATGTAAAATTATAAACAGTTGCATGCAGATTTCATTTAAGTGAAAAAGAAGAAAGCATTTTGTTTTCCATTTTTGTTTTGGGGGGGGGGGGCTTAAAATATCTGGTTTTATCAAAAATTTTACAAAAATGTTATATCTTGACTTGGTTCAAGTATCATTTAATGTACTGAAACCATGATATGCAATTATGCAATTCAAATTAATTATCATCATTTTCAAAGAGGTGATAGCTCATCCAAACAGCTTTTTAATTTGTAATGTTTAAAAAAAAATTGTTAGATTAAATTTGATAATTTGGACTTTTTTGTGTAGGAAGATTGAATTATGGATCAATAAAAACATATTTTAAACAACTGAATAAATTCAAAGTATGTTAAATGCTTTTTTATTCCCGATATGGTGTCGTTAAAAAGGAATTTAACGTCAGTTCAGGTTGTTAATAGTCCAATTTATATAGCATCTCCGACATGAAATGTATTAAATGTCGTCCCCTATCTCACAACATCTTCTTACGTGGAATTTGCTTTATGTACAGGGTGAAGGCTAAGACTATTAGATGATTAAGCACTTGGCCATATTGATTTATCTTGATATCCACAGTGTAAACTTTAAAAAAGAAGAATTTAATTTATTTCCTGAGAAAGACCAAAACCGACTCATGTTATGAACAGATTTAAAAGGATTGATATTCGGAACTTGGGAACTTATGAATGATGAAGTTTTAAGATTCTAAGCTACACTCTAATTTTTAATTGTTGGAGTGACGTTTTTTTTTGTGAACATTGGTGATATGAGAGATGGGTTAAAAGAATGGATTTAGTTAAACTTGAAAGCAAGGAAAAAATTGTTGTTTTTACTTGAAGAATTAATTGGGATTAAAAATGTTCAGGAAGATGGATATGGGGCACAGTCTTGCTTACCAAGTCAACAACTTTAAGCAGGTTAGTTTCTATATTTCTGGCAGATTTTGGTTCATTAGGATTAAGGAGAAATGTTTTTAAAACGGCTTGTTTAATAAAAAAATCAGGTATTTTTAAGAAGATTTTTAAACTTCTAAAAAAAATCTATATATTACAACAAAAAGAAGCCTTAATTTTTACAATTTTAAATTATTTGGAATAATTGTATTGTTTGTAAAATTTTGCTATATTTAGGCAAAGATGTAGATTTTAATAATTAGGCTGGCACCTGGCACCTGATAATTTACTTGTCCTGAAAAATCTTTTCTTCATTTAATTTCATTTCAGAAAACCTTCTGTAAAAAAATCAATTGCTTAACTATCTAACATATGGAAGGAGGTTAATACTAACATATTTTTAAAGAAAATGTGAAAAAAGTAAATACCCCTGCTTAAGATATAATATTTTACATAATTAGAAAATTTAATCTTAATATAGAACTTGATAACAAAAGTAAGTAATTATATGATTCAATAATATATTTCGAAAGATTAACTTTTAATCATATAAATTGTCTTGGATATTATAAATACTAAGATATGATAAACTTTACTTGTCCACCCCTCATGATATGGAGAGCTGGCGTGTAGGGATTGTCACAAATATTAAATTGAAGAAGGACATTAGACAAAATGTGAGGCTTATGTTGTTGAATACAAATATGAAGAAGGGTTCATGATTTAGTATTATTTTTGGTTGGGAGAAGGTTTAGAACCAGTGCTTAGGATGCTGATCCGGGTCTGTTGGATCCGCAAGATTTTGGCTTCCTGGATCCGTATCCAGATCCACAAAAATATGCGGATCCACGGATCCTGATCCGAGGGGTAAAATATCAACCAAAAACTACAAAAAAACTGTTTTTCCCCTAAAAACCCAAATCTGAACTTTTGAAAAAAGAGAGATTATAAAAATTTCCTCATTTCTGAATGGTTCATCAAGTTTTAGGATAAAATTAAGCGAAAAAAAAAAAAATTTGAAAATTATTTTTTGTAAAAAAAATTCAGTAAATGACATGGTTCCAGATCCGGATCCATTTTTTTCAATCTGGATCCGCATCAAATCTAAAGCACTGTTTAGAACTGATAAATTTATAAAGCTTGATAAGATTTAATGCATTTAACATGCAATATATTTGACTGAAAACTGTATCATGACCATCCATGGGGGGTGGGGGCACCATCTCCAATGTTATGACTGATTAATACAGGGTGAGTGAATAAAAAACATTTTTTTAACTCACCCAGTTGTTTTTTTTTGCAGATAAATCTAGAAAGAAGATGGGATTTTATACCTCCAATGAGAGTTGTAAGTAGGGTTGAAAATTTAAATAGTTTTGATATTAAATTAGGAGAGACATTGTCCAGACTTGACATTGACATACTAAATAATTATTTTAAGTATTCCTGGGTGCTAAAAAACAAAACAAGATAGTTTAATATAAATGATGATCTTATTGGACTGATTAATTATAAAACTTCACATATTTAGAATTCATTTGAAGGCTGAAGAAAGATTTTTGTAGGAAATAGATAAAAATTCTCTTTTTCTTTCATTTCAGTATGTATGCCAATTCAGGTTTGAAAGTTTTAACTAAATCATTCAACAATAAAGATTCATTAAGTATCAGACTTAAAACATTTGTGCACTTTGGAGATATCTTACATCAAGGTTAAAGAGGGATACTGAAAATGTTTAAGATCACACTGGGACGAAGTCAGGCAGTTCTTTGGACCAAAGGCAAAGGAAAAGTTTGAAAGCAAAAAACATGACTTTGGGCCTTAGGAAGTGTGCTTATACTAACTCATTCAGAATGATTTTTCAAAACAAGCAATTTTAATTTGAAGTAGACCCTTTTCCTTGAGCACTGTTTTTTGCCTTGGACTTTTCATTGCTTACATAATTTAAAGGACCTTCAAGCTTTAAACTTTTGTCTAGATATAGCAAAAGCTTGAAATTATCTAATAAGTTATATAAAAATTTGAATAATTTAAATTCTTTTTATACCTATGAACTATAATAAAGAAAGTGTAATAAAAAGCATTTTCTTTCAAACTAGAATTATGAATTGTGTACATTCTTTTTTTTACTGTGACCAAAATCTTTTTTATTAGATAATTTTTTTTCATATTTTATTGTGATATGGTTAATACTTCAGAAAAGTCCATACATTTAAGTTTTTGGCTCCATGATAAAAAGTTCTCTGAGAACTGATTTTTAGAAGGACATGTGTTAATATTTTGTCTTGAAACTTTATTACAAGATATGCTGTGAATTTGTTTCTCAGAACATTTGCATTTCACTGCGTAAATCAGAAAGCTAAAATTAATCAGAGATAATTCTTATTTCCAGTAACACATTGAAAACAGTATTGGTCTGAGGATTATTTTCAAAATTAAAGTGTAGCATAGAACTTATCATATGTTAACTACTTTGTGAAAGATATACCAATATTCTTGTATAAAACATATTAAACAGAACCTAGGTTTAAAAGATTTAAAATATGCTGGGTTGCATCAGTTTAAAGATGATTGTGCCCAAATACAAAAACCAATAGTTCCATATTTTACATTGTCAGAAAAATGAGACAAAGAACAATTAATGATACAATTAAAATATTTTATGATTGGTCCACCAGGAGGGAGTTTCATGTTTAAAATGAATCCCTTATTAATATATTAAAATACCATTATGTACTAAATAGTTACTAAGACATCAGAAAGGTTTGGGAAAGAGGAATATTTTAAACTGATGGCATTTTTAATGTTTTTACTAATATTATTAAGGGGTTTAGCTTGATTATAAAATTTCTGCAGGACTTTTTGTACAACATCTTGAAAGTTAATTAAATTGAATCATTGAATGTTTAACCTGTCTCAATTACATTGTTGAGCGTTCTTTGTGTATCAGTTTATCAACTGCTTGGGAGTTCAGAAGTGCTTTGCTTACTGTCTTTTCCACCTCCTGGGGGTACACTTACTAAAGAGGAAGTTCCAAACAGTTTGTACCATCCTATGACAATGTTGGAAAGATCTAAGTCATCTAGCATAATTTGTGCAACTCCCATGAATATCTTCTTTCCTTCTACCCTTCCGTAGTCACCCCAGACTGTAACTTGCAAGACACAACCTCCATAACGTTCATGAAAGATCAATTGTTGTTGAAAAAGTGGGTCAAGAGTCCTTCTAGCAGAGGCTGTTTTGGCCTTTGCCAAACATTTTTTGCCTGACACTAAATAAACTTTTACCCAAGGAGCAGGAAGAAATTTAGAGCCTGCTTTACTTTGTAAACCTCTTGCACGAATTACTTCTACTTCCAGGTCACCTCTTTTGTCACACATGCTTAGTTGTATATCACCTAAGACAGGAGAACCAAGAACTTGTCTTCCTACAAGTTGTCCTGGACCTAAACCTTCAATAAACTCTGATAGTTGTCCTTCTCTAGATGTAGAAGTTAACCAGCTCTCTGAACAAGTATCAGGAAATAATTCAGGTTCTCCATCACTTGAAATTGAGGTGCCCTGCCTCACAAGCCTTCTATCCAAGCTCACATTTACTGGAATTACTTCTTCTGATCTGTGGACGGTTATTGTTGTACGCTTTGCTCCTAATAGTCCAATTCTTTTTGTGCGACCAGTATCAGAAAGTTGGGATGTAGAGCTTGATTTTTTCCCCATGCCCTGGTTTCTTCCTCTGTTAACAATATGAATGTTACTTACAGCTGTATCACTTAAACTACCGTCATTTTTATCAGATTCTGAAGTGCTAGATGTAGTGGGTGTCCGTAGAATACCTTTGGGCTGGTTTGGGTTGAATGGCACAGCTTTTGTTTCCTCTGTTTGACCACCAAATTGAACACTACCTTGAGATTTTAATTCAGTACTTGATTTCTGCTCAGCCTCAATTTTGGTTTTTGGTTTCAAGGCACTGGCTGAAACAACAGATTCAATATCACTGTGCTCAAAGTATTCACTTCTTTGACTCTCAGAATCATATGAATTACCAGAGGGTCTGTAATTTGTTGCCATTCCACCTGATCTTTGATAACTTCTGTCCGTATATCTTTGTTCTAATTCTGGATTTCTTGCCCACTGTTCAGTAGATCTGGAATCTAGTTGTCCTCTTGGATTATCTCTTGCATTCCATGATCTTGAATCAACAGATGAGTTACTACTTCCATAAGGATCTTGTTGAGTTTGATCTCTCTCTCTCCTGAGTCTATCCAGTCTGTTTTTGTGTCTTTCCAGATAGGTGTCTCTATCATCATGTCGTTCACTTAGCATTTCAGTATCACTATATCCACTGTTACCTCGATAGTTACCTACTGGCCTACCAAAATTATTTCTTTTACCTCTCTCCATAGAGTGGTATCTACCTTCACCTCCTCTTATACTTCCTGCACAACTGGCACTACTACTCCATCCTCTACCTCTTCTTAGGCCACCAGGAAGACCATTATCAGTTTCTAATCCTTTTTGAGGTATTTGAGGTAGTCTTCTTCTCTGGGGAGATGTTCTCATTGCAGATCTAGCATTGAATAATCCCCTTTTGGAGACATTAGCTCCAAAATGTGATGCTCTGGAATGGGGGACCCCTGAAAAATCTTGCAAGGAATTTCTGTCTACTGAAAAATCATGCTCTGGTGGGGGAGAGGAAGAGCTGCCAAGGCTGTTTCCTGATAGTGATGCAGCCTCTTGACCTTGCCAACCTTTTTTCCGAGAGATATTTTCTCTACTAAATCCTTGACTCTCATCAAAATCAGAGATTTCAGAATCTGAAAATCTTGATCCTGTGCTAGGTGGAGAAAGATGGTCAACTGGCTTTTTTCCATAATGCTCTCTTTCTATGAACAAGCTGTGTTTTAAATGTTCTGGAAGTCCACTCTTGTGCAAGTTCAAGTAATGCCATTCAGGTTCTTCATCCAGTGGAGAGTTTCCTATGTCTATTGTGATTTCTCCCAAAAAATCATTTGTACCAAATCTGTCATAATCCCATATTGTTACCTCAAGAACCCTTGAACGTAACTCAGCCCACCTTATGTTAGAATATATGAAAGTTTGTTTCCACACTGGATCATTTGTATTAGGTATAGTTTTTGTCCTTCTTTTACCTTTTTCACTTCTGTCTGGCAGAAGGTAAAGTTTAGCATAAGGATTTCTATACTGTCCATTTGGTCTTGAAATTAAATCCACAGCACTAAGAATTGATATTACAAGTTCACTCTTATCTTGATTATAGAAAGTTTTAACTTGAAGTCTGCTTCCTGGGTTCTTAGCTTGAGAATTCGGACGAACTAAAAGAGTATCACCGAGTGGATCACTGACAGTTAATGTAGGCCGGCTGGAACTGTTGTCTCTAGAAAAGTTGTAGTCCAGTCTAGATCCTTGAGTCTTGAAAGGCTGACGAGACATTCTATAGTCAACTTGATAACTATGAGAAGTATCAATGATTGGTCTGGATACAATTAATTCTACTTGTTCTTCTTGTCTTGATTCTGCTATTATGTCATGAACTTCTTCATAGCTTTTATTTTGTAAAGATCTCCCATTCCATTCCAATACTTCATCACCAGGCAAAAGATGTCCAATTGTGTCAGCAATGCTTCCTTTCTTGACCTTTTCAATTAATGCTCCACACCTGTTATTGTGCAATGTTTTACCACCAACAACCTTGAGACCAAGAAGTGATGAGCCATTACCTGACGGGCCAATTACTTTACTTTTCTTCAATATCATGTGACCAATTGTACAAGCCCGTTCTGAATTAGGAGTCCATGTGACAGGATGAGCTAGAAAGTTTTTGATCTTTGCATCAAGAATTTCTTCTCTCTGATATCTGTCAAAACCAGCTGTTGTGTATTCTTTTTCCGATATTGACTCACTCTCAAATTCTTCACCACATGATGTACAGTCAGGGGTTGATCGTATTTCATCATCTGAGCTTGAAATTGAATGTTGATGTTTCACCTTTTTATGCTTGTGAGGACGGGGAGGAGGTGGTCGTGTCTGATATTCGGATTGGTCACTAGATAAGGAATCATTACGAAAGCTGGAATCCATTTTTCGTCTATTAGTAACACCTCTTACTATATGTGGATCCAACAGAGACTTGTGCATTCCCATTTCTAAATCTGGAACCTTATCTCTAGTTTCCTGATCTGAAATTAACACTTTTGGATACAAATTGTAAGCCTCTTCTCTTCCATGATCTTCAGGGGCTGAGTATGATTCTGTCAGATTATCATACATACCAGGATGTCGCAACCTCATACCTGGATTGAAACTGAAACTGTTGGAACCTGGGATTTGAGCTCCATAATGTTGGTGAGAAAATGTTTGGTCGGTCTTAGCTCCAGGAGGCAAAAGGGGGGGATGCTCATGGGCATCCTCTCCTCCTTCTGAACTTGTTCTTTGAAATGGTCGTCTTGCTCTCATTCCAACCGCATCACGTGGATTTAGGGATCTTTGTCTAGGAAAATTATGTCTAAAGTCACTTGAATGATATGGTGCTGGTTGTCTTATTAACAAAGGCCTGTGGAAACCATGGGAACTTAAACTGCTGAGACTACTACTTGGTCTGTTTTCCTTTTCTTGATAAGGGCTGTAATCGGTTGACCACTTATCAAAACTTTTTTGAGATTGAATGCTTTTTAGTTGTTGACCAGGGCCTTGAAATCTAGTAGGAGTTGAAGGAGTAATTGATACTGGTAAGGCTTTAGAAAATAATGAAGAAAATGAAGCAGATGGTCCAATAGAACTTGGAGCTGGTGTTGTTGGTGTGGGTGCCATATCCAATTCAATCTTTCTTAAGATTGGATCATCATTTTGGAAAGTACCACCTTCCACCCATTTTCCTGATTTTATCAGTAGTTCCTGTTTTTTTCGACATAGTATGCAAACCCATATAACTTTGTTAGACCTTAATGTCACTTTACCACCACATCTGGCACAGCATCTGACATTGCAGTAGTTGCACACATGTCCCACTCCATCTGCAAATTTTGTTTTCAGGCATACTTGACAAGTTGATTCTAACTCTATTCCAGCCTTCTTTTGTATCTCAGCCTTCTGTCTAATCTGCTGTTCAAGATTTATGACTTCTTTTTGTTTCTGCTTCAGAAACTGGATTTCCTTACTTTCCTCAGCCTGTTATAACCCAAACATTAACCACATAGAAGATAATGTCTCATTGATGCTGTTAAATTATGAAATGTAAGAGGCATTGATGGAAATTCCAAGAGAGAAATTTGTTTTCTAAGATTTTTAAGAAAAAATAAATGTTAATCAAATTTTTTAAGTTTTTTGGTTAATTTATTTTGAAATGTAATGTGAAATTATGCTTGGTTATATTCCTGTTGTTTCTGCATTACACTCTCGATAATAGAACGCTCTTCATCTGTGAGATGGGAGAGATCAGGTCCTGTGTCAGGGACTCCAAACCCAGGATTGTCTGGGCCCCTATAGTTGTTCTCGCTGCTGTGATGGTGCCCTCTGTAGTCCCGGCTAGTACTAGCCATTGGTCTATTATCTAGATTTGTAGCAGGGTCTCCTCTGGCCTGAAATAATTGTTTTCAGTTTTATAACTTGAGATACAAGGACAAATTCCTTGAAGGGGTTGGGCTATAACTAGCCTATATTGATACCCTCCTTTACTTTTATATTTGATAATAGTTAAAAAGATTGGTGTAAAGATGAATCATGATATGATAAAAGAATAGAAATACTTATAGTTCTATTTTTTTGTCTCTGCTAAAAAACTGAGCTTCAAAGACCCATTTAATTTCACGCTCTGTTATGCATGAGCTGCAAATTAAAAAATGGTTTCCCCAGTACAGTTTACTTACTGCTGGCATGTGTGAAGAGCTTCTGAATGATGATTCTGACATGTTGTGTGTTTAGCTATCTGTTAAAAAACCATATATTCAATTTAAGGGTAAAATCAAACAAATATATTTAGGAAAATGTGATTTTTTTGTTTAGTTTTAGGTCATTAATTGGAGGGTTGCAGATTTTCAGAGGGGGACAGGTGTAGAATTGTAGAATTATTGTTAGTAAGTTTTTTTTTTGGTTAAGTAATGCTGCACAGATACGTAAAATCTTATGCTTTGCATTGTATGGAGTCAATGGATCAGAGAGGCTACAAACAGAAATATTTTGAATTGAAGAAAAATTAACCCTTTAAAAAATCCATCATATCTTGCAAACTTATCTTTGCTCCCTTTATCTAAGTGTCCCCCTTCAATCAATAAATATTCTGTGATGAAAACTAGAGTTAACTGGTGTAGTGTAGGATCAAAAGTTTCATTCTATATTTATATTTATTTGTAAAGTTTTAGGAAGCAAGCAGTGGAAGGAGAGTACTTTATGATATTAAGGAATACCCTGTTGTATTGAATAAAGCGTAAAAAGGTGTAGGTGGGTGGGGGTAACTAAAAGATCAGCATTTCAGGGGAGCGGAATAGAAATATAGATAATAATTTAGAATTTTTAAATCCATGGCTGATGGCCACCATTATGATCTTACTTATATACCCTACCCTTAGCAATGCAATAATAAACGCCCCTCCCCCCTCAGCTTTTTTAAGATTAAGCACTGAAATACAAGCAGAGGTTATGGCTCAGCAAAGTTGTAAGTTGTGTTATCAAAAGGAACTTTTTGAAAAAAAACCAGATAAGTCAGTTCACATTAAAAATAGTTAAAACGTAGAGAAATAGCTGTATCTTATTTCCTTTATTTTTACGATTAAATCAGGACTTGATGGAATTAGGGCTAGGCAACATTTTGTTAACTAACAATATTTTTTAAATAGAAATTCCAGTTAGGATGGTTTACTTATTTGTTAATTTGATTACTGTTGCCACACGGATTAAAGCTGGGTTTAATCTGTTGAGCACATACCCTCTGTATATACACATGACAAATGACGACCTGTTACTCTTGAACTTGGATTTCTGCTTTCAAAGTAGTTCAAATATGACAATCCAATAGATTTGGCACTAAAAAATTGGCTCAATACTGCAGAAAACTATAAGAATAAAGACTGAATAAATTATGTACAGTCGTCTCTGAAGTCTCATGTATGTGATGAGCCCTAGTAGAGGTTTAAGATGGTAAGTTGGCTAAGAAATTATCAAAAATAAATCAAGAGAAAGAGGATTATTGAACATGAAATAATTTAAGAACCTTTATAAGAAAATGTAAACCTACATCAAAATAAGATTTTTTATGCTTAGACAATAAACGTAAACAATAAGGATTAATTTTAATGAAGATATTGATAACTAAATGACACATCGACAATATTTGAATGAAATCATTAAAAGAGATTATAGATTTGGGGTTTAAATTAAGTAACCCTCCATTTTAAGAGTCTCATCCCCCATTTTCAACCGTACCCATCAAACCCCTTTTAAATTTTTAAGATTTCATTGTTTTCTTTAAAATAAAAAAACAATTTTCAACTGTGGTTTATCTTTAAAAGTGAGATGCAGATTTATTAAACAGGAACAAGAAAGGGAGTTGACAAATTTATCTTATTTTTGTTGAAAAGCAATACTCGTTTAAGGTTTATAGAAGGTACAGTTCACTGAAATAACGCCGACAGTCCCTTTAACAAAAATTTCATAATATTGATTTTTATTATATTTACTAGCTTGGGAACCCAGCGATGCCCAGGGAACTCAAAGTTAATTCCACCATTAACCGCCCCTTGTCGTTAATTATGATTTTAGCTATTTTTTCGTTAAAAGTGAATACTCGATTAAAAATCTCAAAACTAAGAACATTTCCATGGCTCTCCTGTGTTCCCTCATCAAAATTTGAGGCAATTCGGTCCAGGGGTTCCTTAGTTATGATAGAAAAACAAACAGAGATAACAACTTTATATATATACTAGCTGGGGAACTTGGCGCTGCCCAGGTTACTCATAATTCTCCCGCCGTTGACCAGCACTTGGTTGATTTTTTTTACTAGCTTGGGAACCCAGCGATGCCCAGGGAACTCAAAGTTAATTCCACCATTAACCCGCCCCTTGTCGTAAATTATGATTTTAGCCATTTTTTCTTTAAAAGTGAACACTCGACTAAAAATCTCAAAACTAAGAACATTTCCATGGCTCTGCTGTGTTCCCTCATCAAAATTTGAGGCAATTCGGTCCAGGGGTTCCTGAGTTATGATAGAAAAACAAACAGAGATAACAACTTTATATATATACTAGCTGGGGAACTTGGCGCTGCCCAGGTTACTCATAGTTCTCCCGCCGTTTACCAGCACTTGGTTGATTTTACCGGGAAACTAAATTTTCGATGGAAAAGTCGACCCACTAAATTAAGAATCTCAAGGGGTTCCTGAGTTATGATCGGACAAACAAACAAAAATAACATCTTTATATATATATATATATATAGATATTGATGACTCAAGGAACCATGGAGGGGGGGAAGGTACATTGGACAAGGAGATGTCCATAAATAATTTATGCAGAATGTTTTTTTGCTTATTAGGGGGTGTGGAAGGTTGGGGTATTTGGAGGGGGAAAATATATCTAGAATTAAGTGAGGGTCGCAGCATATCTTTATTTCGAGCACGGACCATCTAATGTTTAAACCATATTATATCCCATGTAATTAATTAATTGATTATTATTATTCTGCTCCATTTTTCACATTTAGGTCAGAAGCTTTCATAATATTGGATAGTAGATAATTATTTGTTTAATATTTGTTTAAAATTTTGGCAGAGAAACTAAAGCTTAAAGATGTAATTGTCTAATCTAAATTACAATTTATAGTTTGAAATATCAAATATACTAATGTTGAAAACATGCAAGAATGTAAAAAAAAGTTTTCATTCAAATTATTTTTTAAATTTTACAATGTTAACCCATTTTTGACATGAGCTTAATTGAGATTATTGTTAACTATTAAGTATATCAAAAATCTATATTTTTTGAAACTTTCAGAAAAATAGGATATTTCATGAGAACAACAAAATGATTTATAGTAAAACGATGCAACTTACAGACATTTTAAATTATTGATTTTAAAGTAAAAGTGGGTCGTTAAATATTAATTATTAATTAGAAGCCAGTTAACTTTTCATGTACCTTTCGTATTCACCTCCCCCTACCATGCCTTTACTTGGAGTCGCTTAAACCTAACCTTGGACGTTTTTGCTTCAATCAGGCTCATAGATACCTTATTTGTTATCCATTTCTTTTGTGTCATCTGAATGTTCAACATGTGTTCTGCCTTTTATCATACTCAATGTGTATATTACATTTACTTAATGTGAATCTTTGGCTTTTTTTCGTTTTAACTGTGCATATTTGGCCTTTTATCATTTCATTTTTGGTTTGGTTTTACTTGATATGCACATTTTCCTTTTGTATTTTATCATACTAAGCATTAATTATTTCTTAACCGCTGTACATAGTTGGCCTTCTATCGTACAATATAATGACGATATTAGCGTACAAGTACAATATTATCGTTTTATCTGTGCATTTTGGCCTTTTAGTATAATTGGCCATGTATCGTACTCAACAAGCACATTTGGCCTTTTATCGTACTTAGTATGCATATTTGGCTTTAATGGTTGTCAGTGTGGGAATGGTTTGTTGATGTTGTATTTTTGGCCTAATAACGTATTATTAAACTTGAAGGCCAGTAGACGACGTGATAAATTATTAAAAAGTATTGAATAAAGTAGATCTAAATAAAGCATAAACAATACAATGTGTATTTTTAGTTTGCCATATTCATATTTTATACACTAGACACTTGGGACAATACAAGGTCGTTACAGGAGTTAAAGGAACTGTAAGCGTAATTTCAAGTGACCCTCCATGCCCGATTCACAACTGCACCCTAGAAACCTTTAGCATATCCATGGGGCGCAAATATAAACATTAATAATTTATTCTTGCTCAGACAAAACTTTTAAGGGTACGTTGAATCGTTCATCTTGCATTGCAAATTTATGCTTACACACCCTTAAAAGGGATGGCTCACATATTTAACATTCTTGTACTCTGATTGGTGCGTATACAGGGAAGGGAAGGGGGGGGGCGAAGAGGACAAATCCCCGTAAATATATTCCATTATAGACGCAAACGTAAAAAAAGACTTAGATTTATTTCTTATTGTGTATTTTCAAATTGGTGAAAACTGAACAACCCATGTAATTGTGATTTGAAAATACAATCCTTAAATGGACTAGTGTTGTAATTTCACGTAACCCTTTGACTTTTTTTTAGATTAATATTGTTATTTATATATCTGTATGCTATGTAAATTCTTTCAATTTCCATCAATGCTTCTTCACATTAAGTATCGCAATTGATAATTCTTCAGATTGAAAAAAAAATAACTTTTAGCAAACTATTTTAAACAAGTTATTATTAAACCCGAGTTTACCAGAGACCCACATAAATATACTCATCACAATGTAACTGTGGCATGAGCCTGTAGTGCAGGAAAATATAAATATTTTGTATTTATATTAATATTCTTATATTCTTATATTCACACTGCCATAATATTTACAGGGGTNTTTTTTCATTATTTTAGATACTTTTTTGATACTGTTGAAGAAATGCGCGAATCACTTTCGCAGAGAAACCGCAAATAAAAACATTGATATCTAATTCATGCTTGATCAGATAAAGCTTTAAAGGGTACTGTTGTTAATCGGGCATTGCCATCTTCGCACGGAGGGCCACATGAAACTACGGTTACAGTCCCTTAAAAGCTAATATTCATTTATTCATTACCTTTTTGCTACTAATTAGACTCATTTTTTTAATTTTTCCGTCTTGTCCTTTTATGATTTTTCTATTATATCTCACCCCTATTTCATACAACCCCACCCCTCATTAAACCCTTTCCCTCCTTCATATATTCCTGCCACTTCCTCATGATAACCCTGCCACTTTCTCTTAAAACCCTGCCACTTCCTCATATAACCCTTCTACTTCCTCATAGAACCGTGCCATTTCTTAATATAACCCGGCCACTTTCTCATATAACCCTCCCACTTTCTCATATAACCCTCCCATCAAGACTTAGTGAATTAAGAAATTAACGAGATACGAGGAGATCTGTTATTAAGATATAAAGTAACAGCAGTCTTCGTTTACTTCTCTTATTCTCTTGTATTGTATTAATTAGAGATTTAAAGGGACAGGAGGCGTATTTTCAAGTGACCCTCCGCAGTCCTCATTTCCGATTCAGAACATGTTCTTTAAAGTGTTTATAAACAAGAATGAATAATTTATCCATGTTTTTAGGATAAAATGAATTAAAATTAAAAAGCGGATAAGATTGTCAGAATTAAACACCTATCAAGCCAGATTAAACATTGTTATCTACCACATTATTGATCAGATAAAGGTTTAATTAGACATTTCCCTCCTTAAACTGCGATAGCTTATAAATACAGTTATCTAATCAAAAAATTAAAAATTTAACAAAGTTCTTCAACCGACGCTTTTTTACTGGAGAACCATTTTCCTAGAAATCTGAAAAAACTTGTGCACGAAGCGCGCCGACATTTTTTAACCCTGCCCTTGGCAAAAACTTTTCCCACACCTGATATTTTATATAATGAATTTTGGTAATTTGTATGTCAAACAGAACGGGGGGGGATAAATGTGTATACCCATTTCCAATTTATTTTTATTTGATAATTTATTTTAATGCTTTCATAAAATTTTAAATTAAAGGCCTGCTCTCTCTAGTTACGTACCAAATTTTTCTGAGAGGGGGGAGGGTTTCACTTACCACCCCCCCTCTGGTAGTTTGATTTTATCTGTTTTTTTCTTTAAATTTATACAGACAGGCTTTGTTTAAGCTAGGATATGAAATTTTCTCTGGATTAGTAAACATGAAAAAATTCATTGATACTCAAATAAATATTTTTCTCTATGTTTCATATCAAATATTATAGTTAATATTATGATTCATTAAAAAAAAAAATAGTACACGGAATATAAAGTTACCCCTTCATTAACGATCACAATGGTGTCAATTTAAACTTATATCTTAGTGACGAGAATGGAGAAATCGTCGTGTTTATGTCTATTTTCAAACAGTAATCGATATACTGTGTGTTTTTACTTTTTATTGAAACGAAGACACCTTCTTTATCAATAATAAGTATATTATTTTTAATCGATGCATGGAAAGTCACTTTAAAATTATATATTATTCTTTCACTTTTTCACTAAATAGTAGGTAAGTATTTAAGTTTAATTTGTATTTAATATTTTGTATCGATGAAGTGTGGAGAGATTATATTTGTGTAATTTAATATCTAGTGTAGAGAAGTATAGAGAGAAATGATTGTATTGAATATATGGTTTCCTTTCTACTGCTCCTGATCCCTTGATCCTCTGGTCCTAGATCTACCTGGAGCAGAATCAAGATCCTGCTCCGCATCCATGCCACAATTAAACCATCCTTGTTGGAGGCGGGGTGGGCGGGCTAGTTCACAGATCACTGGTGGAGGAGGGGGGTGTGGCTGATCCTCACCTACACCTGCTAAGCCTCGGTCTAAAGGAGTTTTTGGCCTCGGTTATTTGGAGGCCAGCGTACCCGCAATATTCAGCTAGCTTGGTAGGGCCATTCATAGAGATTTAACAACCAGGAGTAACAGCCATACACGTCACACACACGGACACGTCACAAACACTAAAACAAACATACTCATTTACATTTAGCGAACATACGTGGAATTCTTTCAAATAGAAACATCATACATGAAATTAGTTCAGTATTTAAATATCTAGCATAGTAAAGTTTTGAAGTATCTATTTATTTGATTTATCTAATTAATACTTAATTATAAATATGTTTAAATGCTCTAATGGGTTTGTTTACATATTAAATTTATGGGGGAGTTGCAGCTCCCCCCTCCTCCCCCGGCCCTGTAACTGTAGTATTATCAATCCTGAACTAAATGTATATTGTATTGGATGGATAGGGTAGGACATCTCACTAACATATTGTCTCCAGTTTCCGAGACATTAAATAGTTCTCCTCGGCTGCTCCATCGGCGTTTCTCCCATGCCAGTGGATAATGGGCACCGGGCATCCAACAATAAATCGAGAAGACCCAAATTCTAATTTTCTAATCCCCTATCATCTGGTGTAAACCAAGGATATTTCAATCTTTGACTATTTGATCAAGCAGAATTTATAGTTCGAAATATTCAAGTTCTACGATATCAAGTTTGGAATAGAAAATTGGAATTGATCAGAAAATTGGAAGGAATATTGGAAGAGAAAGTTGATTAGAAAATTGGAAGGAATATTGTAAGAGAAAGTTGATTAGAAAATTGGAAGGAATATTGTAAGAGAAAGTTGATTAGAAAATTGGAAGGAATATTGTAAGAGAAAGTTGATTAGAAAATTGGAAGGAATATTGTAAGAGAAAGTTGATTAGAAAATTGGAAGGAATATTGTAAGAGAAAGTTGATTAGAAAATTGGAAGGAATATTGTAAGAGAAAGTTGATTAGAAAATTGGAAGGAATATTGTAAGAGAAAGTTGATTAGAAAATTGGAAGGAATATTGTAAGAGAAAGTTGATTAGAAAATTGGAAGGAATATTGTAAGAGAAAGTTGATTAGAAAATTGGAAGGAATATTGTAAGAGAAAGTTGATTAGAAAATTGGAAGGAATATTGTAAGAGAAAGTTGATTAGAAAATTGGAAGGAATATTGTAAGAGAAAGTTGATTAGAAAATTGGAAGGAATATTGTAAGAGAAAGTTGATTAGAAAATTGGAAGGAATATTGTAAGAGAAAGTTGATTAGAAAATNCAATCTTTGATACCTTCCCCTTCTATGAATATCTTATTTATTTATCTTTGCTACCTTCCCCCTTCTCTTAATATCTTATTTCTTCAATCTTTGCTACCTTCTCCTTCTTTTAAAATCTTATTTCTTCAATCTTTGTTACCTTCTTTGCCTTCTGTTTATATTTATTTCTTCATTCTTTGTTACCTTTCCCTTCTCTTAATAACTTATTCTTTCAATCTTTGTTACTTTCCCCCTTCTCCTAATGTCTACTTTTAATCTTTGTTACCTCCCCCTTCTCTTATTTCTTCGATCTTTGTTACCTTCCCCTTTTCTTAATATCTTATTTATTTATCTTTGTTACCACCCCTTCCCACCCCCCTTCTCTCAAAGTCTTCTTTCTTAGATCTTTGTTACATTCCCCTTCTCTTAATATCTTATTTCTTTAATCTTTGTTACCTTCCCCCTCTCTTAATATCTCAATTCTACAATCTTTGCTACCTTCCTTTTCTCTCAATATCAGGAGTAAC